CCTAGCCCTTTATATAAATTTTTAACTTATTTCTCTTAATAAAGTTATTTAGAGATTAATTTAGTAATTTCTTTATTATTATATTAACTAAGTTATTATTATTATTAATCTAATAGACTTTATATAATTTATATCTTTTATATAATTATTATAATATTATAATATTAATTATAAGTCTTTTTTTAAGTTATTTTCAGCTTAATTAAGTATTTATAAAAAAAGAGTCTATATATATAATTAAAAAGATTTCTAGTAACTTTATTTAATCTATAATTCTTTTAATTATTAAATTAATAATATATCTAAAGTTAATTTCTTAAATTATATTATATAATTTTAAAATTTAAGTTAATTTTATTTTATTTTTTTATCTTTATTAAGTTTTATATAATAGTATTATCTTTAATATTAATCTTATTATCTTTAATTATCTCTTTATATTAAAAATAATTATATATCTTAGCTAAGAACTTAAATCTTTATTATTAGTAAATAATCTCTTAATAAAAATAAATAATTTAGTATACTTAAGATTAATAAAGATATATTATAAACCTCTTTTTAATATTTTTTATTTATTAGCTAATTTATTAAACTAGCTTTTTAAAATGTTTATTTAATAGTTCTTAATATAAAATAATAACTAATAAATTAAATATAACTTTTACTTAATAAATATTTATAATATATACTTTATAAACTTTTTACTAAATATATTTCTTTTTTATTATTAAGATTTAGAGGTTATTAGCTTAGTCTTTTTAAGTAATAGTAATATTATTATTTTAATTAACTTAAATCTAGTAATTATTAAAGATTATTTCTTTTTCTTAAGTTAAGACTTTATAATCTTTAATTATAAAAACTACCTTTATAAGCTTAATTTACTCTTTTTCTATAAAAATATTATTACTTAATATAAGTATATTATTTATTTATAATTTAATAATACTAATCTTTATTAAATTTATAATAAAGAAATATAAATTAAATATTAAAGTTATTATATTTAACTTTTTATAATAATGTTAAATAAATAATATATTAATATATATTTACTTTTAGAATTTTATATAAAGATTATTTAACCTTTATAATTATATCTTTTAAATATCTAAAGTATAAAATTAGTAATAACTTTATTAAGATTATCTTTATTAGTAATATTATAAATTAAATATATATTTATTTAATAGCTCTTAACTATAGCTTAAGGTTATCTTCTAATATTACTAAAGTAAAAGCTATAATAATTCTTTAACTTATTTTTTAGATTATTAATATTTATATTAAAATACTATTTTTTTTATTATTATAATTTTAAATTATAAGTTTTAATTTCTTATATTCTTAGTTAATATCTTTATTTTTAATTTTATTAATAAATCTAGCTTTAAAGATTTATTAGTTATTATAAATTTTATAATCATAGATTTTAAAAATAAAGATACTTTAAATAAAAAAGCTATTAATCTCTATATTTACTAAGACTTTAAAAAAGTTATTAGATATTATAATTACCTCTTATTTATATAATTAAACTATTAGATTATAATAAGTTTACTTTTTTATTATTAAAAATATTATATATTATAATAATAAATATCTTTTATTTTCTTTTTTTAAGGTTTTTACTAAAATCTTTAACTACTTAGTACTTACTATATTTATATTAGTTATATTAACTTTTACTATATTAGTATAATCTATACTAGCTTTTATTATATAAATATAAGTTATATTAGCTCTTTTATAAAGTAAAAGCCTAGGCCCTTATCCTCTAGAGAAGGTATTTAGTAATTAACTTAAAGAGGAACTTATTATATTAGGTATTATCTTATAAATATATTCTATTATTATTATTACCTCTTTTAATAAAAGCTTAGGCTTAGTTCTTATAAAGAAGGTACTTAATAATTAAATTAAAAATAAACTTATTATATAAGGTAAAAATAAAGCTATTATATTAAGTATTACCTTATAAATAGGTTTTATAATTACTAATACCTTTATTACCTTTTTTAAAAATAAGAATAAATAAATAACTATTAATTAAAATATTATTAATTCTTTTAAAAACTTAACTATATATTTCTTATTTTTTATATTAATTATCTTATATAAACTAGTTTAGCTACTCTTTTTTTATTATATTAAAATATTTAATATTAATAATAGCTTATATAATAGTTTTATATTTAGATTATTTCTTATATTAAAGGTATAATAATTTAATATTTTACTTTAAGACTTTAAACTTTAGTTATAATTTATTAAATAATAACTTTATATTAAATAACTAATAAATAAAGTAAAAAATTCTTAGATATTTTAAAATATATATTAAAAACTAATAAAGTTAATATTTAGTTAGTTAAACTAGTTATATTATTAATAACCTTAATTATAAACTTAAGTTTTTAGTTATTAGTTATTATAGTTTTTCAATCTTTATTAGTAATAATATAAGCTTTTATAATATATTAAAATATTTTTTAACTTTATTTATATTATTATAGATTTTAATTAAGACTAGTTAAACTTAAATATATAACCTTTTAGTATATTATTTAAATTCTAAAGATAAAAAATCTATTTTAATATTATAGATAATCTATTTAGATAACTTAAGATATATATTAATATAATATTTTAAGATTATATTTTATATATTTTTAGCCTTTTAGTTTTAAAAATTAAGAAATTATATTATTGAAAAGGCTATTATTAAATTAATAATATAAAGAATAGGTTTATTATTAATATAATAGATATTTATAATTATTTTATAATTAAATTTATAATTATCTTTAATACTATAATATTTAAGAAGAACTATAAAAGTCTATAATAATAGATATTATATATATGAAACTATTAAATTATATATAATATAGATTTAAAAATATTATTTTTTTAAAAGTATAATATATATTTTATAAGAATATTAACTATTAAATAAAACCTTAATATAAAAAGAAATTACTTAGATTAAAAGTATAATATAATATTATTATTATATAAAGACTTGAGGAATTATAATAGATTATAATATTATTAAAGATAAAAGTAGTATAACTAGCTTTTAATTATAAGAAAAATAATAGAAGTTAAATATAAAAAAGATAAAAAATTTATTTTAAAATACTATAGAGGCCTTAGCCCTTTTATCTAGGCTAGCAAGTAAGGTATACTAGGTAGATCGATTCCGACCGATATAATACTAAATGTAAATTAGCTAGGTACTTTAGAATTAAGCTAGTAGATATTATATAGCTTATTAATCTTTTTTAA